CATTGGTAGTGGCATGGCAAAGGAGTTATGCCTGGCCACCAGGCCCATGGCCCATAGCAGAGCACTTAACAAGAACGACTGTAAAGTTGGACACTTGCTTTATTTCTTCATTTTTCTGGCCTCTGTATTCTGTGTTTTGGATTATTTTTCTGTGTTTTAACATGGCGCCAAAGAGCGGTGACACTACGCAACACTTTTCACGGTATTTTTTAAAGAGATACACGTGACAATAAATAAACCAAATCAAAAAAGCTCCTCCAAATCATCCATTGTAACCATACCTTCCTGGGATCATTCCAGTAAATCTCTTATCCAAAGGCTTTGCATTGTTCCTAACATGTGCTTCTCAAATTTTACAATCTATTTACGCTGCATTCTTTTTTATGACTACTGTGTGTTCGCTGAATATTTTTGAGTCACACCCAAGTCGCATGTGCTTACTGATTTGTTTATAATTAGCAACTATTGAGTTTCGGGCAGCCTTCTTAACTTACAGTTCTGAAGTTTTAATTTAAGTTCAAAATGATAATCAAGTTTCACTCAACACTTATTAACGCATGTCATTAATGCATGTCAACTCAAAAACTGTTGTCCCAGGACTTAATCTTGGAGAACACTAGCATCTTTCTAATGCCAGCCTGTCAATCATTTGGTCTGTTTTCTGACCCTTAACCCACCCAGTTTGCTAGTGTCCCTTTTATTCCATGAGCTTCACTTTTCTTAATAAGCCTATTATGTAACACTTTATTAAATGCCTTTTGAAAGTACTGTAATACTTAATATCAACTGCACAGCCCTCACACACCATCTCTGTTATCTCATCAAAAAAAACACGAACCAGTTAGTCAAAACTGATTCTTGTGCATTATGTGGTAAAAAGAAACCATATTTGACAAAAATAAAAGTGTTTGTCCGGAGAATTGTCATAAAGCCATAGAATTATACAGCACGGAAACAGACACTTCAGACCAACTTGTCCACACCAACCAGACTTCCCAATCTGACCGAGTCCTATTGCCAGCATTTGGCCCATATCCCTCTAAACCCTTCCCATTCATGCTCCTATCCAGGTGCCTTTTAAATGTTGCAATTGTACCAGCCTCCACCACTTTCTTTTGTCAGCTCATTCCATACACGCACCAACCTCTGTGTGAGAATTTTACCCCTGAAGTCCTTTTTCAATCTTTTCCCTTTCACCTTAAACCTATGCCCTCTAGTTTTGGACTCCCCTACCCTGGGAAAAAGACCTTGGCTATTTACCCTATCCATGCCCCTCATGATTTTACAAATCTCTTTAAGTGTGAAAGACTACTATTTATCTTCTACTGAACATAAATGGCCATGTGACTAGAATGGGTCCCCTGACTTGAAAGACCCCCATTTCTATCTATTGTATATCAATGGTGATAATTTTATAAACCTCTATAAGGTCACCCCTCAGCCTCCGATCATTCAGGGAGAAAAGCCCCAGTCTATTCAGCCAATCCCTATAATTCAAACCCTCCAGTCCCGCCAACATCTTTGTAAGTCTTTTCTGCACCTTCTCAAGTTTAACAGCACCTTTCCTATTAGAAGAGTAACCAGTATTGTATGCAGTATTCTAAAAGTGGCCTGATCCATGTCCTGTGTAGCTGCAACATGACGTCCCAACTCCTATACTCAATGCACTGACCAATGAGGCAAGTGTACCAAACATCTTCTTCACGACCCTGTCTATCTGCAACTCCACTTCCAGTTCTGAGGAAGGTTCACCGGATCCGAAATGTTAACTCTGTTTTCTCCTTGACAGATGCTGCCAGACCTGCTGAGCTTTTCCAGCAACTTTGTTTTTGTTCTACTTCCAAGGAGTTATGAACCTCCTCGTTGAATATATGAGAGGAATGCAGGTATCACAGAAATGAGTTTTCTTGAGTATTTGACAAGGTGTCTCAAATGAACTTTGTCAGAAAAACACAGGCATATGCTACAACAGCAAAATGATTGGTGAACAACGAACAAAGAGTCATGATGATTAACAGTGCCACTGTTCAGTTCCATGGTGAAACATTACGTTATCACCAGATCGGAAAACTGGTGGGAAAAGACAGGCTGTGTTCCATTGTTTGTGATCGCTCAGTTGTGATTGGTTGGTGTTTAATACACAACATGTTATCAGAAGTGTGGCGAATAAGCCAGATGCAGCACTTATGTATATATATATATATATATATATATAGATTGGTGGCATAGCCCACAGACAGCTGATGAAAATAAGTTTTATTTATAATATATAGTGACAATGTAGTTAGGACAAATACAGTCTACAGAGCCACCCAGTAGCCAGAGCTTATAACTACAACATAATAGAATTGACGTAATAAACTTGAATGGTAAATGTTAGCAAAATGATTCATAATAGTCATGTGGTAATTGTAAATTAACACATGACCAAAACAATGACAAAATGAAGTGAAGTTTATGAACAAATTCATAGATAGATAGATTGATAGATAGATAGAGAGACAGACAGACAAACTGACACACTTTGTAGTAAACTGTTGTTTCACATTATCAAGAATCTTTGGTTAAATACAATCTACCATGTAGCTTCAAAGGGGTTGAAGATAATATCTGGATTTTGGACGGACTGAACATTCAGTTGAGATAAACTATTTAATCAAAAAAAGAACCATTTAAATTTTCCATTTGACAAATTACATTTCATCCGTACATTCTCTGTAACGTTTTGTCATTACCATCTGTTTCTGTCTTTTTATTGAGTTTATAATCTATAGTTCAAGCTTATATAGAAGACTCCAGAACATAATTCTGGAATATTTCCAGCTCTTAAATATTCTAGTCATGTTGATAAAAGTTTTTATTCATTTCTGGCCATTACATTTAAAGGGAAGATATAAATTCATAATAAAGCTCACACATAGTGGATGGAGTCTTTGTGTTGGAATTATCAGTCAAGGCAGCTTTGGTGCCTTTGTAAAACAGCACACTGCAACATCACAAAGCCAGGAGCAAAAGAAAAGGTTTTCTTCTTCAAGATCTCTTGAAGCTGTTTACGTGTATTTTTATGAAAGTATAAGGCTGCATGCAGAACACATCTCTTTTAAAAACCGTTGTGAATTTCCCTCTACCTGTTTCTAGTGGACATTTCGTATCCTAAACATTCTTTGCATAAAATAGTTTCTCACTCCACTTTCCTCTTCCTTCAATGGTAGGGATTTTAAACTTGTGCCCCCTGGTTATCAACCTGACATTCCAACTCTTGGTTGGTTTTGGGAAACTGTAACATGATAAGAGGCTCCTGGGTGAATCATTTCACTTGGAAAGGAGAGAGGCAAGTACAAACCTGCCTGTAATCTAATTTTCCTTTGCTGCTCTTTTCATGTTTGCAGGAGGATTACTCTTGCACAGTTAAAGATGACAGCATTCCGTAGAGAGGAGTTGTATCAGGCACAGTCAACAAAGTGAGCACATCAGTGTACACACAGCTCTTTATAAAGCTTAGCCCATCCATTAACCTTTCAATTAAGTACACATCTTTATTTACAGTAGATGGACATCAATACAGTACACAGAGTTGCTTTGTTTCAGTAAAGAACTCGAATTTTGCTGAGAACCAAAACCCCAAAACCTCTGTCTTTCTTGTCAGTGAATATTTCTAATAATTGTGTGTTTGATTCAGTGTTCAATATTTTATAGGAGCAAATTGCTGCAGATGCTGAAATTTGTACTGAAAACAAAAAGTGTTGGATGATACAATGGGTCACGCAGCATCCCTGGAGAGAGAGCAAGCTAAAGTTTCAAGTCTGGATGGCATCATCAGAGCTGATATTTCGATATTTTATATTTCTTATCCATGTGAAAATGACACTTGTTTCCATCTGTTTAAAAAGGTTTCTTCACAGTGCTTTAAAATGCCTGCTGTAAGCTCTTTCTCCAGTTTATTTATTTTTTGCTGAGTCCACAATGTAATAACCAACAAAGCACAGCTAGCATCAATTATAGATATTTATTTGTTAAGCCAAAGTGTTCAGAGATATAATTAGACACAGGGCTAGGTGGGACTTGAACCCAGTTTTCATACTACCAATGTGCCACAAATACATTTGTTGGGACAGACAGCTAAGTATCAGAGGTTTCCATAAGAAGGAATTTTGATTTTATGATAACTAACTATTAGCAAATAATGGAGGAAGATAATATTCAGAAAGAAGTTTAAGTTTCTCATTATTCTATTTTTAAAAGTACAACTATCTCTTTACACAGTCTCCTTGGTTTAAAGCAGTGTCTTCCTTTTGTAGTGCACAGTCCAAAAAGGAAGGAAACAAAAAGATGTTGTCTGCACGCTAGCCAGTGTTAGCAAGTTAAAGAGCTTGTCTTACTATTTTTTTGAAAATTCAATCAGTTACAAGTACAAACATTAACCTGTCCTAAATCTGTAATACATACATTCATTTTAGCAAAAGTTATAGGTTGGGAGGATGGTCTGGAAGTTGAGTGCTATTAAAATTGATATAAATCGGTTGTTCTCTGGAAACAGCTTATTTCAAACTACAATCTGACCTTTTCCAGAGTCAGTATTATGACATTTAAAAGTTCCTTTTACTTTTGAAATTCCCTGTCTCTGCAATGCATTCCAACTTGTAACAGAGATAGGATCCTATATTAGCGAGAGAGCTGATGTACTATTATTCCATTCTGCAAGTCTTCTTGATGTCATTGCCTTCTGTAAGCAACAAACAGCTGATAATTCTAGGTTTTCATGGGAAGGATTTTGATTATGTGCTAGCTGACTGTTAGTATATAATGAAGGTGATCAATATTTACAAAGGAGTTTAACCCCTAGTGTCTAAGTTATCAAGAGAGCATCAGATCATAGATTATTTTCAACCAACCTGTTCAGAAATGTGATGACACACCTCTGGAGCAGGTGGGACTTGAACCCAGGCCTCTGGGATCAAAGATAGGGATGATATTACAGTTCCACAAGAGCCTCTACACCCCAAAGATATAGGTTAGATGCCACTAAGTAAATGGAAATACCTTAATCTTTTGTTCATTGTACGGCCACTACCTTCCTTCCATTCTCATCAAGGGAAATGATAAATTTATCTCCATTCATAATAAATAATTTTAAATGAAATCACATAATGAGATGCAAAACAATTAAACACTGCACCCTCTGGAAGGATCTGTGGGCTGCTCAAGAAACAGAGAATCTCTTCAACCAACCAGATCGGGACCAACACACTACAAAGCAGAAGGTATGAAAATAAGCAAAAGTGAACTAAATTGTATTCCGGTTTGAGGTAAAAAAAATACAGGCCAGGTATAATCATTTCAAATCATTGAACTTTACAGTCTTAGCAGTGAATTCCATGACATAATCTACTTCCAAAAGATGAAGAGTGGATGGGAAAGATTGTATTTTTCTTCCTATTATGGAGTCTCAATCAAAACTACCCTACTAATTAATTCCTTAGAAGTAGCTACATGCATATGTAGAGAAGAGATTAATTAACTTGCATAGGAATAAACACAGATAGATGACAAATATAACATGGATCATACTGGCTTATGTTGTTCTAGGAATTTTAAAAAGGATTATGCAATGCCACTGGTCAAAGTTGAACAAAGGAGCTTACAACATAGGACAGATGTTTGGGAATTTCTCAATGTCTTCAGCAGATCAAAAGAAAGTTCTGCGAGTTTCCTGTTTTTGGAATATCACCCGAAATAGCAGACCCATAAATTGGGGAGCGGGCATGTGGGGACAGAATGTCTAGGATAACCACAGCCTATCAGTGGACCAAAGTACAATGACTAATCCATTTATGGCCTACCAATTAGGCGAGGAATTTAGTGAATTCTTGGCTGTAATCATTCTTGTAACATTATTGAGGATTGTTAAACCATATTTCTTTAAACTAACTGGATCAGTCGCGAAGTGGAGGTGTTGGTGTTGAACTGGGGTGGACAAGGTCAGAAGTCACACAGCACCAGGTTGTAGTCCAACAGCTTTATTTGAAAACACAAGCTTTCGGAGCCTCACTCCCGAAAGTTTGTGTTATCAAATAAACCTGTTGGACTATAACCTGGTGTTGTGTGATTTCTGATCTGGATCATTCACAGTACACATTAATCTTTTTTGACATTGTTCTAACAGAGTTTCACGATGTGTGCATTCATCCCTGACTGAAAAGTTCACTGTAACACACCTAAGTTCTACTGAGGCAAAGAGGCAGACTGAATACAAGCCTAAATACACATAAATATCTTTACAAAAATCAGAAGAGGGACTCCTGCCAACATTTCTCAGAATCTCCCATTCCTCTGATATACTGGAAAAGAGTTAGTCACTGGACTTCCAGCTGCTCTGATGAATCTTGGAAAAATAGCATTAAGTCATTAAGTTATGGAACTAATGTTTGTTTCTAAGATAGTTTAAGAGGGAATTAAATTTTGGATAATTTCTCGCTTGTTGAAAACCAAGAAAGGATTGGCTGTCTTACCAATTACTCAGAAACTTGTCAGTGCACATTCTGCAATTTGTAATGTGGGCATACATCAAACATTGTTTTAATCGACACCTAATGAAACAGCACTCCTGATAAACCAGCAAAACATATATCCTTCAAATACTACAAAGTTCACTGTATTATTCTATCCAATTATTATAGTTTTTAAAATTTGTTTACCCCAATGTAAGCATACCTGTTGTTGAATCGAATGGCCATATGAAATATCAGCTGATAGTAGGAACTGCAGATGCTGGAAAATCTGAGACAACAAGGTGCAGAGCTGAATGAACACAGCAGGCCAAGCAGCATCATGGGAGCAGTAAGGCTGACGTTTCGGGCCTAGACCCTTCTTCAGAAATGGGGGAGAGGAAGGGGATTCTGAAATAAATAGAGAGAGAGGGGGAGGCGGATAGAAGATGGATAGAGGAGAAGATAGGTGGAGAGGAGACAGACAGGTCAAAGAGGCGGGGATGGAGCCAGTGAAGGTGAGTGTAGGTGGGGAGATGGGGAGGAGATAGGTCAGTCCAGGGAGGACGGACAGGTCAAGGGGGCGAGATGAGGTTAGTAGGTAGGAAATGGGGGTGCGGCTTGAGGTGGGAGGAGGGGATAGGTGGGAGGAAGAACAGGTTAGGGAGGGGGGGACGAGCTGGGCTGGTTTTGGGATGCGGTAGGGGGAGGGGAGATTTTGAAGCTTGTGAAATCCACATTGATACCATTGGGTGCAGGGTTATCAGCTGTTGATTCAATTTCAAGTAAATGTCTCCGCAAATACTGCGACCTACCTCGATGTCCAAGTAGTCAGTTAAGAGTGTGAGTGAGAGGGCTCTCAGCCAGTACGTTTTATTTAAGGCAAAGTTGCATTATTATTTAAGTCGTTTATGTTGCAAATAAAGTATAACTGTGTTGTGTATACCCCCTGCATTATGTTTCTATTAGTTAGTCTGTGTTTTTACATTGACTGGGCAGACCTTGATTATCTGGAATAGTTGATCAACTGGCACACCCTTATGCCACAGATAATAGAACATAGAACAGTACAGCACAGTATAGGCCCTTCAGCCCACAATGATGTGCCGACCTATTATCCAACTACGATCAATCTACCCTGCATACTTTACATTTTACTATCCTCCATGTACCTATCCAAGAGTCGCTTAAAAGTCTCTAAAGTATCTGACTCCACTACCACTGCCGGCAGTGCATTCCACACACCCACCACTCTCTGTGTGAAGAACCTACCTCTGACATCTCCCCTATACCTTCCTCCAATCACCATAAATTATGCCCCCTCATAATAGTCATTTCCGCCCTGGGAAAAAGTCTCTGACTATCCACTCTATCTATACCTCTCATCATCTTGTACACCTCTATCAAGTCACCTCTCATCCTTCTTCACTCCAGTGAAAAAGCCCTCGCTCCCTCAACCTTTCCTCATAAATAATAAATAATAAAAACTTTACTGTATTTCATGTGCCAATTTCAAAAATCCTCATCAAAAATCCCTTAGTAGTCTTGCACACCCAACTCCATGAGCTCCTTTGCCTTTATGAATCATAGAATCGTAGAATCTCTTCAGTGCGGAAACAGGCCCTTCGGCCCAACAAGACCACACTGACCATCAGAGCATCCCACCAAGACCCACCCCCCTAATCTACACATCTCTGAACACTACGGGCAATTTTGCATGGCCAATCCATCTAGCCTGCGCATCTTTGGACTGTGGGAGGAAACCGGAGCACCCAGAGGAAACCCACACAGACACAGGGAGAATGTGCAAACTCTACTTTAAGTCCTGTTCAGAGCAATTCAATCCTCCAACCCCTGTACACCCACTGCCCTGTCTCCCTCATTGCTGAGAAGCACAGCCACAAGTTGCAGGCAGACATTACTAAATATGTAGACTGGGAAAATAATTGGCAAATTAAATTCAATATAGATGACTATGAGTTAGTGCAGTCAGACCCAAAGACTAGGAAGATGCATGTCTGGGTAGATCTAGGTAAAACAAGGGGACCCTGGAGCACAGGTAAACTAATGTCTAAAGATTACACTGTAGGTTTGCAAGGCCATTGGAAAAGAGCAAATGAAACAGGACTCACTATTTTTAGAGGAATAGGATTGGAAAATAGGAAAGTTATGTTAACCTGTATTGAGCGGTGATTCACACTGTGCAGTTCCACTCTTCATATTGTAAAACGTATTTAGAAGCACTGGAGTGGGTGCAGAGAACATTTACAAGGATAGTAACAGGAATGAATGGTATACATATCAAGAAAGGATCCACAGACTCTTCTCTGTTTAAATGAAAAAGTTTAGGGCTGACCTAATGGAGAACCTTTCAACCATAAAAGATTTTAATGGAATGGATACAGTGAAGTTGTTTTCACTTATAGGAGCAGTGTAACTAGATGCCCTCAATTAGAAGTAGTTACTAAGAAATCCAATAGAAAATTCAGAAGAATTTTATTTACCAGGAGAGGGAGAAGAATGAGAAGTGTGCTACAATAAGGAGTAGTCAAAGTGAATAGGATAGGTAGGTTAAGGGAAATCCAGGTAAGCATATGAGGGAGAAGGGGATAGAGGGCTATGGTAGTCAATTTAGATAGGAAAGAAGGGAGAAACCTCAAAACATTGAAGAAATATCTTGATGTGCATTTGTGATGCCAAGGCAAACAAAGCCATGCGCCAAGAGCTGGAAAATGGGATTACAATAGTTAGGCGGTTGTTCCTGATCACTGCAAACGCAATGGGCCAAAGGGCCTTTTTCTGTGCTGTAGACCTCTGTGACTCTGTGGAGTAACTACATGGATTGCTTGGGCCAAATGGCCTGATTCTCTGCTATAGATCCTACACAATCCTGTGTATTCCCTTCATCCCATAAAAAATTAATCAGTAGACTCAGGCCTACTCTCTTCAAACTTATTTCTAAACACTTCCTTTACAACAGCGGCTACAGTACGAAAGTATTTTAGGATGTCCTGATGTTGTAAACGGTGCTATTTAAAGACGTCTATTTCTCGATTGCATTCCCTGTGTCCCAGTTTTAGAGTCCATGGGGATCATATTATAATCTGAGTCTGGACAAACCATTGTAGGCTGTACCTGATTATCTAACAGAATGATGTTGATTAAAAATCAGATCTTTTCTACAAAAGCTGGGCTATCCCTTATGTTAGATCAGCGCTCAAAGCTAAAATTATTCCCCATCTCTCCATGCCTTTCTCCTAACTCTGCCACTGTGCCAATGTGTCTTTTATCTAAATTTTTTTTATTGTGGGATGTGGGTATCACTAGCTGGCCAGAAATTCTTGCCCACCCATAGTTGCCCTTGAGAAGGTGGGGGTGAGCTGCCTTCTTGAACCGCTGCAGTCCTCCTGCTGTGGATTGACCACAATGCCATTAAGGAGGGAATTCCAGGATTTTGACCCAGTGACAGTGAAGGAACGACGATATATTTCCAAGTCAGGATAGTGAGTGGCTTGCAGAGGAACTTGGAGGTGGTAATGATCCCATATATCTGCTGCATTCGTCCTTCTAGATGGAAATGGTTGTGGATTTGGAAGGTGCTGTCTGAGGATCTTTGGTGAATTTCTGCAGTGCATCTTGTA